TATCTCTCTCTCTCTCTCTCTCTCTCTATATATATATATATAGTGCTTTCACATTATAACTAATTTATCTTGAAATTAGTAGTAGTATATATATATATATATATATATATATATATATATATATATGAAAGACCTCAATGTTTTTTGCGACATCTTTTTAAAATATGTCATATTTATTAGGTTTATTTAGTTTTTTATGCAGTGCATGACTGTATGCTGAGGAATGCTAATCTTAATATCAGTTGCAAAATATTATATTAATGAATAATTACCATGTAGTAACTAGATTCCACGAAAATATCATAATTGCTACAGTTACCACATAAAACAGTTATACTACATTAAAACTGTGATAATTTGGGTCAAGCCAATAAATAAATATAAATATTCTGAACGTCTCTTTGAAAGAGATCCTATGATGTTACAGTACTAACAACTGCAGTGACCATGGTATTTTGGAGGAAAGGGGACAAAGGAAAGCTCAATTAACTGCTAAAGATGGCTGGCCGATTATGGAATGTTCTCTGGCTAATAGGGTTTCTTGGTAAAGTTTATCTTCTGTAATGGTCAGCTGTGGGTCGCAGTGGTCAGTGTTCAATAATGGATAGTGTCCATCAGTAGGCGGAGGGGGAGGCTGGGCAGCCCGAGGCAGAAGTACACTTATTCTACTCACTCTCCCCACCTCCACCAGTTTGGTGATCATCACGATGCTGTAGCAGTTCTCCTGCCAAACCATGCGCCAGAAGTCATAGATCATGTCCTGCTTGGGCCCTGCGGAGAGAGAGAGAGAGAGAGAGAGAGAGGAATGAGCTTTCATGGAGAATTGTGGGAGGTGAATAATTTGAACGCAGGATGAAGAGAAGATCGAGGTGGTTTTGTGAAATAGCGGGTCGCGACATCGACGAGGATTACATAAGAAAAGAGAAAACAGAGACGGCAAGCTGCAGGGACGCGGGAGCTATCGGTCCACATAGAAGACAACGAATGGAGAAACTGCTGGCAGTGAAAATCCAGCGAGTGATAGCAGCGAGAAACTAGAGTTTTAACTTCTTTTTTTTTTTTGAAGAAATGTGAGTGATTGCAGGATGCTAGGCAGTTACTAAGGCTGGTGTTTTCAGTGCGCTGCTATGTGGTTGCTAAGATGATATTTTTTTGAGTGTGTGTGTGTCGCTATGGTGCAACACAATGTTTATCAAGAGAACATTGTCCTCGGCCCAAATGGGTTCTTACTTGACCAAGTCAAAATTATCTGAATATTACTATGGTATTCTCTAACCAACTTATTTTTAATATGAGATCAGGTGCAGCATTTGTGCTTCGGTGTCACTCACTTCCAGTTATTTTAGCTGGACAAAACAGACATTTACACTCTAAAAAAATGCTGGGTTAAATACAAGCCAGCGCTGGGTTAAAAAGGGACAAACCCAAAACAACCCAATAGCTGGGTTCGTCCCTTTTTAACCCAGCGCTGGGTTATATTTAACCCAGCATTTTTTAGAGTGTATGCTGTTTAGTATCGTAAACTGGCATTTGTTAATACATTATTTTTATTTATTATGGTAATCATAATCACACTGACTTGTAGGACATCGACGAGGATTACATAAGAAAAGAGAAAACAGAGACGGCAAGCTGCAGGGACGCGGGAGCTATCGGTCCACATAGAAGACAGCGAATGGAGAAACTGCTGGCAGTGAAAATCCAGCGCGTGATAGCAAGCTGAAAACATCCCAGTTCTTGCATGGCCAGCATACTCACCGGACATGTCACCCATTGAGCTGTTGTTGTATAAGTCTTCAGAAAACACAAGAATGCTTATATGATGAACAGGGGCCGGCTGCATAAACTGCTTAGACTAGTCTACCTCATGTACTTTCTGAAGCGTCAATGTTTTGGTTGTGCGGACTTTCAATGGATGGATAAAAATCTGTCAGGTTTAATTAAAAACATCTTTAATTGTGTTTCACAGATGAACAGAAGCTTGAAGGGTTTGGTACAACGGTGAGTAATTATAATTATAATTTTTATTTTCGGGAGAACTATACCTTTAATACTGTCAGTGTGGGACGGTTCACCTCTAACACCTCTAATAAAGTATTAACTATTAATGACACGAGCTGAACCTCTTTCATTCTCACTCTCGTCTCATTCTTTTCTTCCTCGTGTATTTTTCTGTGCACACATCGCACATGAATAGCACGCAGATATGCATACACATGGAAATATTCTAGAAACACTAAAGGAAAGCCACTGAAGGTTTGTAAGCGCAGTGCTGTGAACACTCTGCCCTCAGGCGACGAGTCTGTTATCTTTACCTGTTAAAACAATCACAGCCTACAACAGGTGCTGCTCTTCCTGAGTTCCTGAGCAGATCTCCTGCTATCACCCGCAGCTACATCCTCGAAAAATCACATTGAGGTTTAAATAGAAGGTGGGGAGGCATGTTTTTGTGGACATATTGAAATGGCATTTCCCAGCTGACAGCATCAGCCCAGGTTAATCAAAGCACCTCTGCCAGGAGAAGTCTGCTGCTAACAACAAACTTCTTTCACTTGACTTATTAGTGATGTTTGCTAAAGCAAGCATCAATAAAAACACACACACACACACACACACACATCAGAGCTGTCAGCAAGATGTGCTAAAATTTCTCAGAACACCTTACCAACCACATAATAACGTGTCGGAAAGCCCTGGCAACCATCCAGAACTCCAGCAACCACATAGCAACATGTTAACAAAAAGCTCAGCACACCTTACTAACTCATAAACTTTATGCAGATCCACCCCTTTTCTGCACTGCACTCATTGTCTTCTGTCTTCTGTTTGTATTTTCACAGCGTGAAGGTAAGATCGTACAAATATACAGTGGGTATAGAAAAGAATTAGCCCCCTTTACAATAATCACATTTTGTTGCTTTTACAGCCTGAAATGAAGACGGGCACAGTTTTTGTTTTATCCTGCTGTATTTACTCAGTGCAACTTATGACATCCAAGTGAAAGATATAACACCAACATGTCAGAAAAAAATACAAATACATAAATATACATAAAACAATAATAAAAAAAAACCATTATCACTGAGTTGGAAAATGCATCACACCATCCTAAAATGACTTGTAAACTCAATCAGGTGTAGCTGATCACCTTCTCAATGACACACAAAGCCATTTGACTTTCAACTGTGATCAGCTGTGCTCATTTTGATCAGCTCAGCATGAAAAGGGCTTTCCTGGAGTATTTCAGTCCTTGGTAGTGCAACTGAAGCAAACAATCAACTACGGGCTGCAAGACACTGTCAAAAGATCTCTGGGATAAAGTTGTGGAGAGGCACAAGTCAGGAGATGGAGACAAAAACATTTCAAAGGCTTTATCAATGCCTAGAAGCACAGTGAAGTCTATTATTAAGAAGTAGAAGGTATTTGGTAAAAAACAGAGCCTCCCTGGATCAGGACGTCTCTCCAAACTGATGAAAGAGCCGGAGGAAACACACCAAGAAGATTCTGAGGCAGATGAGAATAAAACTGAATTATTTGGCCTCAACACCAAACGATATGTCTGGCAGAAATCCAGTACAGCTCAGCATCCAGATAACAGCATTCCTGCAGTAAAGCATGGAGCTGGAGATGTCCTGTTATGGGCTGTTTCTCTGCAGCAGGGACTGCAGCTCTTGTCAGGATAGAAGGAAACACGGATGGAGCAAAATACTGTCAAATTATTGAGATTTGCTGCCCTCTGCCAGAAAGTTGTCAATGGGAAGAAGGTTAATATTCATAAGGGTTAGCATCAGACCCCCAAAAAATAAATAAATAAATAAATAAAAAAAGCATGGAGAACAAGCAAACAAAATGAAAAACAACACCCAAAGCACCCTGTCACTGTAGTGTTCTGAGTTTTTCATGGGCCATGACATTTTGCAAAAATCTAGTGATAATCTAGTTGTCATTATGTGGGTTTGAGGGCTTTGGGGTTGCAGCTGCTGGGCTGATGGGGTAGATTTGTATTAAAGCCCACTGAGTCATGAGCACATCTGTATGCTGCGCTGTCACAATGTGAACATACAGATGGCCTTCACGGGACCTAGATCTCAGGACCTAAAGCCAGTTTAAACCTCCGGATAGAGTGCAAGCCTAGCAAAGCCCACACACGAGTGTGTGTACACCTGCTCAAACAGAGCACAGCAGTGCACGCGTGTGTTTGTGTATGGAGGGAGTTGGTGTTGATCAGTGGCCCTGTTGTGTTGACGACCAACATGAATGAGAGAGAGCAGATGAAATGAGATGCATGTGAGCGCATGCTGTTTGTGCTGCAGGAGAGCCTGAGACCCACAGAGACAAAACTACGGACAGCTGAACACATCCATAGAACACGAGAGACAGAATCACTTCACCACAAACCTGTGGAATGCTTATGATCAGCTGTTCACTACCGTTCCAAAGACTGGGGTTGGTAATTGTATTTATTTATTTGTTTGTTTGTTTGAAGTTTCTTATGTTAACTAAATATTGTGAAATATTATTACAATTTAAAATAAGTGTTTTATTTTTGAATATCTGTTCAAATGTAATTTATTGCTGTGATCAAAGCTGAATTTTCAGCATCATTACTCCAGTCTTCAGTGTCACATGATCTTCAGAAATCAGTCTAATATGCTGATTTGCTGCACAATTTCCTATTATTATCAATGTTGAAAACAGCTGTGCTGCTTGACATTTCTGTCCAAACCATGGTCATAGATAGATAGATAGATAGATAGATAGATATACTGTATATTCATTCACTTCATTACATTATTCATACATAAATAATTAATTAACCCTAAACATCCATTGTTATACAGCATATATACATTTTCAATTGACAGTCCACGTCTTAATGGTTCATTCACAAACTACAGCTGTTGTGCCCCTGAACAAGAAGGTTGCAGAAACGGCTGTGTCATGATTAAGATTCAATTCTAGACTCTGATCTATTGTATTTGAATAAACAAAAAGAAACATCCTAGTCAGTCACCCTCACAAAGGAAGAGAGCGACATAAAGAGCATTTAATTAGAAGGAAGTGCTGCTGTGTTTGGATGGCAAGAGAGAAAAATAAGATCAAACGGCAAAAACAATATCTGCACATGAATCATGCAAACCATTGTAGTAGAATTGGGGCATGTAAACACACACACACACACACACACACACACACACACTTAGAGGTACATTTTTATCAACAACTTTAATACACCACACAATACAAATACACAAGTGATTTCAGAGCAGCAGAATTATAAACACTCACCTTGTGTGGCGATGAAATGGTTGGAGCGCTGATACCCCTGAGAGAGAGAGAGAGACAGAGAAAGCATGCATTATTATCAATTAATGATATGTTAATTACATTTCAACTACATTAACATACTATATTCTGACTTATGCCATTTAAAGGTGAAGTGAATCATTTCTGTGCCTCTTGCATCACCAAACAAAATTGCAAAAAATAACGACTGTTTTTTCCAAACACTCCCCCTTGTCCTCCACTGCTCAAACAGATAAATCCATCCCAAACTCACGCCATTGTTGTCTCCAAACTCACGCCACTGTTGCAGTTGACTCTGCATATTAAGCTGAGGTAGGAGAAAGAAATCATTAAGCTATCCCGCTATATGCTATCCATACCATTACCAGCTGAATATGTTTCTTCAGTAAAATGAAACATAAAAAAGCACAGCATAGAGATGGATGACAATCTTTTACAACCTCAAAAGCCCTAATGTACTGTCTCTCTGACAGAAACACAAAATCATACAGAGGAAAGCTTATATGAAGTGTGTGATTCATGAGTGAGGCTGAGAATGTGACAGCAGAACATGCATCTCTGAATCTCAAAAATGAAAGTGTTTCTACTTGACATTTGATAAAACAAGCAAATATTCGCACGTCCTATCTGTAGTTTGTGTGTATCATCTGATATTGATTCTTTAAGCTTTAAGAATTGAATTTACTCATGTCTAGAAAATCCTAGATGATGTTATGTTCAAACATACAGTATCTGAATGCTGCTTTCTAAATGCCAAACACAAAATGCAAAGCATGAAATGCCACGTATGATAGCATGATATATCAAACAACTGGCTTTTGGGTCACCAGTGGTATAAAATTATAGTTACACCAGACCTGACTGACTAGATTCCACAATTATTAGGGGTAAAAAAAAAAAATTGTGAACTAAAGTCATTGCATTTGATGAATTCCACAGTTTTTAAATTAAAATATGTTATTTAGACAATGTGATTGGTGCAGAACCGAAACGTTTTTGAATACGGGTGTTTGGGGGAATCCGTCAAAAAGGTTACACAATATTAATTTGTCAACACAACCAAAGCATTTGAGCATTTAAAGAAATATAGGTGTGATCCGGGGCTCTGCCGTTTCGAACTGGAAATCTCCGGTTCATTTCTTCTGTTCAGTTCATTGAGGTTAGATCAGGGTTGCCAGGTCTGCATAACAAAACCAGCCCAATCGGTACTCAAAACTAGACCAATCACAACCTAAACTAGCCCAATCGCATTTCCGGGGGAATTGGCTATCAACATCGCTCCAAAATCGTGTTGTTTACTAGCTTCGCTTCAACCCGCGGACTAAAAAACAACCCATGGCAGCAGAATAAAAGTATCCCAATTCTGCGGGGAAAACACTGGGTCAGAGGTCAGTAAAAATATGAACACTAAATACTTTATAGTATTGAAATATCACGCTAGCATTGAATTCTGAATGAAAGTGACACTGACACTAAAATCTATTCTGCAAAGTGCTTTATAAGTAAGCATGATGTTGAATGAATCCACATCACTATGATCAGATGCTTTCTGAACTGCTGTTTTCTCACCGCTGTCATTTATTTATTTTGTTATTGAGAGGATAGCGTGCAGCACATATTTACATATCCATCTATTGTGAGTACATAGATGTGGCCTTAAAGCAACCCGATCTCATGAAAGTGCGTATAAATAGCACGCCAAATAAAAACTAAAACTCGTGGTATTGATACGCAAAAATGGACTTTGGCGTGTATATGCTACGCGATGGGTAGGTTAGGGTTGTGGGGTAGATGCGTATCATATGTACGCGAAAACTCCGTATCATATGCACGCCATCAAATTTCGTATCATATGCATGCGAAAACCGTGTATTATATGCACGCCAAACACATGCGTATCATATGCACGCCAAAGTCCATTTTTGCGTATCAATACCACGAGTTTTCGTTTTTATTTGGCGTACTATTTTTACGCATTTTCATGAGACCGGGCTCCCTTAAAGATGTTAATAAAACCCAGTTCAGTTGCAGCTTTGCTTGGTTTATTACAAAATATCCTTCGTCAGTCTTGGGTAGACTTAGGAAGAAGTGCCAGAACTGTCACTGGTGCCCCTCTAAAAAAAACTAGGTGCATGATAACCCTGCATGCACATTTTGTCAGCATTTGTAAGGCACACTGGCGTCCTGCCTACAGAATGTAGAGATGTCCAAATCAGTCACTTATAGGGTCCCATGACAGTTCGGGCTCTGCCGCAGAAGCCTACTGCCCGAGTAGACAGTATAGAGCAGATCTTCTATCTTAATATATTCTCCTTCTGTTCTTAAAACCCGCGTTCAGTAAGGTTTGTGGTTGATTTTATTACATGCTAATCCTTGACCAGTGCTTGCGATGTCTTGGTGTAGTCAGAAATCAATAGATTATTTTTGTGTGAAGAGCAGGGCGGCTTTATACAGAAACTATAATGAACCTTTATCTGCTGTTCAGTCACCCACACTGCACCTCAGTCCCTGTGTGTAGGGTTCGGATAGAAAGCTTTGCTTTTAGTCTAAAAAGGTTATGCCGGTTGATTGCACAGTAGTCAAAGGTTTCTGTAAAGTGCCTATAAATGAAATGCCTATTTGTGCCTGGACGTCATGTGCCATGTGATGGTGGAAATTGGTAGAGATTTTGCAATACTGCTTGACAGATTTATTTCCGCAGCTAACATTATGCACTGCTTCAGGTTATTTAGGCAAGATGTCAGATGAATATGAAAATACAAAGCTGGATGTGTCCCGACAATTCAAGACAAGGAATAATTTGTTATTATTAAGAACAACATCCAGTTGTATATGGCTGCCAAGCAGTGTCACATCTGTATAATGTGTATATCAAAACATAGTTTTCATCTGCTTCAAACACAGCTCATCCAATCAGAGTCACAGATCCTTTTATAATATTAGTTCTACTGATTTTTAACCAGATATATTCATTGATATTCAAAAAATATGTTATCTTTTGGTTTGTAGCCAAATAAATAAATAAATAAAAAGCTTTTCATTTGTAAAGTCTACACAAGTCTACACATAAAGTTTACAGAAAATTATCCAACACTGGCATTGTGTAAAATATTGGTCATACCAGCTACCCTTAGTATGGTCTACATGAAACCAAAATGTATTTAACTGCAAAATTATCCACTAGGTTTAAACTAGATTTCAGAAGTGATTTTAAAGACCCCTTGAAATCAAAAGTGGTTTTGGTTCATGTCTGCTAGTTTTAATATCATATAGTTACAGTATATGTGTACACTAATGGCTATTGATATGCCCCGCTGCAACATTTTGTTTCCATCAGATATATATTTACAAAAAAAACAACGTTTGTCAAACCATTTCAGGGGGTGTTTAAAGCTTAAGCTGATAAGGCTGTGGCTTACAGGAAGTGATGCAATGAGATCAAACAAAGCTACAGTAAACACAAACAACAGACTGAAAAGAAGGGTTTGGGAAATAAAATGTCTGAGCGCAGAGCCATGATAGCAGGAATAAATGAGAAATGGACAGATGATGGCAGAAGACAAGAGAAAGACAAGTACTTACTTCCCTGTTTATCCGAATCTAAGAGATCCCAGACACAGAGAAAGAGGGATGGGTGAAAGAAGAGAGAAGAGAAACAGGATAATTAAGATGATTAAAGAAAAGAGGAAAGAAATAAAGATGTCAGGAGTCAAATTCTCCGTCCTGACCACCTGCAGTGAGGAAATCACTTCAAACTGCCTGCAAATTAGAGTTCAGAGTCGCCACGCACTGTCTGAGAAAAAATTAAATACAAATCAAATAGTCGATTGTACTCTTTAGTGTAAAAAACAATGTTTTTTAGCAGCACAGTAAATAACTTAGTATAAAGAATTTTGCCATTCACTGTGCAATATTCATATTTCATACAGACTAAAGGTCTCTGAGTACGAAATTTTCGTATGCGTTTTTTTGTATTCGAAACCCTAAAAATTCGTCACGCGCAGAAACCTTGCATACTGAGTCCAATGCGTATTAAAATAATCCGTTGCGAATAAATTCGCACTAAATGGAGTCTTCCAGCAGTGAGGATGATTTTGTTGTCTTCTCGCTTCTTAAAAAGAGAAAAAGAGAGGAAATATTGGGTCCATCCGATTCAAAGTTTACTTCAGGATGTCAGTGGCTCAGTTTGATGCTTTTGCTAGCGATACTAGAGCCACATATTAAAAAGAAGACCACCAGTTTCTGTGAACTCAGTGTGCAAGGATCTATATACAGTGCTTTGTGCTGTGAGACGAAGTGGATGAACTTGACAATCGCCATTCTGGATTTTGGCATTCGCTTGTACGGTGGCTCTAAACTGTCAAAATACCTCTCAAAATGCTTGCTACGGATGCGAAAAACGGAAAAAATCGAACCCGATCCGATTTTTTTAATGACGGACGAATATTTTGGAGGCAGTGTGTAAACGTGATTGACATAACGTGAGGTCGTATTTATTTTTTAACGTGCGGAAATTTGGACGAAATTTTCAGACTCAGTGTGCAATGACCTTAAGGGTGAGAATTTTAGGCAGCTTGCATTTTGAATTTTGAATTCAATTTGCAGTCAAATTTGAAAACTATTCTTAATGACGTAGAAACGTAGAGGCGCAAATCTTTAACCCGTTAGGGCGTCTTTTATCAAATTCTGTGTAAAGGACCCACGTTAACAGAGGTCAATGCATTGCCACATCAGAGCCACATTCTATGTTGTCTTTGTCATTAAACGTGAACTGTTTTCTGTGGCCAAACACAACAATGACCGCGATATCTTGTGGTATCTTGTCATTGTGATTGATGTATAAATAAATGTACTATTTTTAAATATCGAGTTCATTACGCTGGACATTGGTCTGTTGTTTTCTACAAGATAACATTATATAAAACATATTTGTCCTTTGTCCTTTTTTGTCCAAATTTAAACAAATTTGTCCTTAGCAGCTGAACTTGCATGAAGATTCTCGTGTATATTTGTTTACACAGTCCAAGCGCATCTTTCTTATGGTTTGCTGTAAATGTCAGTACTGATTCTGTGTTTTTCTGTCAATATGGGGTGCTGTGTGTACATTAATGAGGAAAAAAAATTAACTTAAATGATTTTAGCAAATGGCTGCAATATAACAAAGAGTGAAAAATTTAAGGGGGTCTGAATACTTTCCGTACCCACTGTATATATATATATTTTTTTTGCTTTCAAAACATAGATTTTCCAAAAACAGTACATTAAATATTGGTTGACAACATTTTTGAAGCAATCTTTTGGTGAACATGCTAAAATTCATGAAGTAGAGAAAATCAATTGAAAAGAGACCTTTAAACTATGCTGTCTCGTTTCCAATATTGCCTTATTTTGGTGTGTGAATCCGTTTAACTTGCATCACAACCTTAATAGTGATTCTCATTCAAGAATTCAAAAAGTCAATCCACTATTTTCATTAATCACATGGGGATTTCATTCTTGCGTGTGAATCACCATTGAGGAGGAGAGAAAATCAAGACATCTGGTTTTCATAAAGGTGAAGTGACACGGCTTTGCGTTTTAGTATCGGACCTCTATAATCAGAGCCCATTTCTCATCACCCAAAACCTGCCACTCAAGCACAGCCCAAGTAGAAAGAGCGATTCAGGTCTGTTCATTTTGAAAGCGCTGATCATAACAACAGCTCCTAACACACTTTAGCCTTGAATAGAAATAAATGCTATTCAAACATATAATAGAAACCTGTAGAGCCGTAAAAAAAATTGACAAAACATCTAAAAGTTAGTCTTTGGAGTCCTTCTCACCGCAGAGGTTTTGATTGCTCAATTCCACGGGATAACCTTCCCACCAAAAGACGACAAAAATGGCTTTACTGAGATTCCAGCAGAGATAGTAAAAAAAAAAAAAAGCTGATGCTTCTTATGTGGGACAGGAACGTATGTTTGAAAGCCGTTATCCATCAAATGGTTAGGATTAGGAGCAAAGTGTTCAGAATCTAGTTTTCAGACAGGAAAGTGTCACGTGTCTAAGATTTGTGCTAAGAACTCTTTCTGGGAAAAACGTAACGAACAGCTGAAATACTGAAATAAAAAAAAAGGTTAGTGGAGAAAGTGTCAAAACCAGACAGCAAAGTCATCAATGGATAAAATCTCTCAGTGAGAAAAGGAATTAGCATATAAGCCACATTAACGTGTTAATGTGTACACCTTCACTGAAAGCTACAGTGAGAGAAACACCTCTTACTCGAAGGCAACATGCTCAGAGACGGAGGTGTGAACAAAGGAGTGTAAAACAGAAAAACTTACATCGATGTAGTTTGCATTGACATAGTCTGAGTTAGGATCGGCCAGGAGAGAATGCATTTTCACACGGTGACGGTCTTCTGTTAGGGATTAAAAATGAAGAGCAATGCTAGTCAGTGATGATAACAATAACAATATTAATAATAATAATATAATAATAAATAATGAATAAAGCTCTGTTCCAAATCCCGATGAGCCACCTACAGTAGGTAGGCTGTGATAGCTGTGCTCTATTTGTAACTCATTGACTGTTGGACCCAGTATTTGTGCTACAATCATTACTTTGAAGAACACTTACGACCCAGAAGGGTGTCATGTCGGCCCTTGGTCTTGTCCTTCTTTTCGTTTATGTCCCAGCCATCGAAAAATCTCTGCAGACACACAAGCAGAAGCAAAGAAATGATTGTGGTGTGCTGGACACTATACACACTAACATTCAAGAAGGCATTAGTACATACAGTAAAGATGCATTAAATTGGCATCAAGGTCTTTTATAGTGTTACAGAGGATTTCTATTTAAAATCAATTCTGCTCTTCTTAACTTTCTTCTGAACTTCTCAAATAATCCTAACAAAACAAACAAATAGCACGAGTTATGTAATCACATTACTTTGTTTTTAAGTAACAAGTAAAGCAATGCATAACTTTTTTAATTTACAAGAATATATCTGAGTTACTTTTTCAAATAAGTAACACCAGTTATATTATGAACAAACAAGCAAACCCAGCCCTGATTTTAAAAGTAGCATAATAATATTGCAATGCATTACTTTTAAAAGTAACTTTCAACACTGATGGTTTCCACACAAAAAATAAAGCGTCACAACTGTTTTCAGCTTTGATCAGAGGAATAATTTTACAAAATATACTCAAATAGAAATAGTTCATTTAAATTGCAATAATATTGCACAATATTACTGTTTTGACTACATTTTTACGTCTTTAAAACGTTTAAACATATTACAGTACCAACCCAAAACTTTTGTACAGTATATTGATATTCTTGTTTAGGCAAACACACCTTTCTATGCACTACTGCACTATTACTGCTACATTTATTACTATATTTCTGTCAGGACCACTATCGTCAAAATGATAGATACAATAATACTGAATAGAGCTTATATAGGAATGCCGCGATAGGTGTCGTATTCCTATAGGTAGATGTGATCAGCTGAGAATCAGCTGATGCAAGCTTGACTCACGTGACCTGCCAGAACTAACGCTAACGCTTAATTTATGAACGTTATGCCAGCAGTTTGCCATCACATGATGATCAAATGATAAAGACGAGCATTATAACTGTATCCCAGTCAACCTAGCACTCAAAATCGCTCTCTAAATGCCCCATGCAAATTGCGATCAGCAGTAAATGTGTGCCTATATTTGCTGTATTACCTCATTTGCATAATTCCTTTAGTGAATGTGGTAAAATAACACAGACAGCACATGCAAATAAATGAAGCTATCGGTATGCAGAGCATCCTTAATGAATCCCTCCCATGCTTTTTCTTCATCATTTGGGGTTTTGATGTGATATTGTGCAGCACACATTTAAAGGCATTCATTGTGAGATTGGCTGTGCATCTCTGTCAAACAAACATACACAGGTACTGCTTATTTATTTTGAATGCGATAATAACACATGTATCTTTCTTTCATGTAATAAAAGTGTTGTAATTGCTGTCAAACTCAAGAAAAGCATGTAGCTGATAGTTTTCAGTGGCTTCTGTGTGCATGTACGCGTTGAGCGTTGAGCACTGCCTGTGTACTCCAGCTGCCTAAGTGCTTTCTAATGCCGCCTAGTTTTTGAGTTAATGTGTGACAGCTGTTTAGCACACATTCCCCCCGAAAGCAGGTGAAGCGTAACACCTGGCAATTACATCTAAATGACTGTCATTTAAAAAAGACCCCCCAAAATAAGTGCAAGTCACGTTTTCCCACTCATCCATTAAGTTCCCTTTGCTCTCGCATTCTATCGAGTCAGACGCAGTTAACAGAGCAGATGCATCATCAGGATGCTGACGTTAATTTCCTGTTGGGCACAGAGCTTTTTTTTTTTTTTTTAGGGGTGTGTGAGAGTTTTATTTTGTTCTAAAACCAAAATGAATCCAATATGGAGGCCAAAGTGAGATAAAATGTAATTATGAATATAATTCCAGAAATGAATCTCTGAAATATACTTTTTACAGATTTAACTTATATTTACAGTAAAAAGTACATATATTTTATTAATTGAATAATGTTAATATATAACATTTCTATTTTTTTCATCTTTATAATATACTGTCAAACGCCTTAAAAACACAGGTGGTACAGAGCAGTGTTGCGGGTAACGCATTACAAGTAACGTGAGTTACTTAATCAGATTAATTTTTCAAGTAATTAGTAAAGTAATGCATTACATTTTAATTTACAATGAAATATCTGAGTTACTTTGTGTGTGTAAAAAAGGGATCTTCAATAATTGTTGTGTACTGGTTGACTATTTTGGACCTGTAGAGCTGAGCCAGAGAGGGAATCTGGCAGCGATTGCTGTATCAGAGCACCAGATAATGTGTTTCTTTGAACAATCATTACCAGAGCCAAACAATGACAGAAGACGCAATTACACTTTCAACGATGTGTCTGATAAACTGTATATGACAGATATGCAATATCTGGGTATGTTGATTCATTGATGTGCTTTCTGACAGACTGAATGTTAGAGAGTTTGAGATTAGAGTTAGACCACATTGACTGGAGAAACTCTAATCACCTGAGAGGAAAGTGCTGGACAGCGTTTCCTCAAATCAATGATCATTTCAACAGCCTTTGTGGTGCTGATGTCAAGACTTTCATTTCCCTTTTTAAAAAGACTAATGCCAGTGACATTATCCGCACAATTCTGTAGTTTGACTGAGAAAGAGTTTGGTCATTAATAGATCCAGGATGATCATATGAAACCCTGAGCTAAAGTTTATAAACTATATCCTGCGCACCTTTTAGATCCCGATGTTGCAGGACAAAGTGTACGGCAATTCTCACAGCATTACTGATTTCAGATATTGTTTGCAGAGCGAAGCATTCAATTGAGAACTGCAATCACTGAGGCACGTTATTTAGTCCTTTTTTTGGAACCGAAACAATACCAGAAGATTTCAAACAGTTTAGTACTGTACACTGAGAATGATTTGTTGAAATGACTGTAAGCCATGTAAAAAAATAAAAAATAAAAAAATAAAAAGTAGGCCTAAATTTAAGATTTATATGTATTTCAATTGCTTATATAAGTTAATTTGGATTGCACATAAACAAGAACCTATATTAATTAAAAAAATAAATCAATAATAACATCAATTTTATATATATATATATATATGTGTGTGTGTGTGTGTGTGTGTGTGACCCTGGAGCACAAAAACAGTCTTAAGTCGCTGGAGTATATTTGTAACAATAGCCAAAAAAACATTGTATGGGTCAAAATTATCGATTTTTCTTTTATGCCACAAATTAGGATAAGGATGTTTTGTAAATTTCTGTAAATATATCAAAACTTCATTTTTGATTAGTAATATGCATTGCTAAGAACTTCATTTGGACAACTTTAAAGGTGCTTTTCTCAGTATTTAGATTTGTTTGCACCCTCAGATTCCAGATTTTCAAATAGTTGTATCTCGACCAAATATTGTCCTATTCTAACAAACCATACATCAATGGAAAGCTTATTTATTCAGATGTATAAATCTCAATTTCAGAAAATTTACCTTTATGACTGGTTTTGCGGTCTAGGGTCACACACACACACACACACACACACATATATATATACATAAACCGAATGCACAAAAAGCAAGTTTATATATTTATCATCACTACATTTTATTCCAATTTCCTTCATTTTAAATAATTGAATAATGCTTGTTCCATAGTTAGCCATATTTTAACCATGTCCAACCAGTAAATTTAACTACCCCCCCCAAAAAAAGAAAAAAAAACAGATTCATGCTTCTTCTAAGCAATTTGAATATTTCTAAGAATCTTGAAATATTTTCCTCATTTTGAAAATATGATTATTTAAATAACAAAAATAGATGTAAATAACAATAAACCATGTAATTTATGTATGACTGGAAAATATGTATAACATTTATTAGCTGTTAAAATTGTGTAATCCAAATGGATGGACTTTTGGATGGACTTCTGTGGCTGGAGATGCTGGTCATGGCTTACTGTCTTTTAACGGTTCAGCTTACTTAAATGCTTGAACACATCCTGTTCTTTGACCTCAAGGCCACTAAAATAATTTGTAGAAGGTGGCAGAGGGTTGTTTCTGAGGGAAACGATAGTTCTTTTAAAGTGCCATTGTGGTGAATGGAAATGCTAGCTTTCTCTTAGTATTACAAATCACCTTGGTCCAAAATTCCATTTCACACTGGGTTTCTGCATTCTGTATGTCTGTATGGCCAGCATTTGGGCCACAGCTGAACGGGATATTAAATGAGTTCTGATTGGCTGTGATTGCCACTTCACTCGGCATTTGCTTTCAGTGAGGACAGAAAAAGCACTTGATGCTGGATACTTTGTGTGGTTAGGACATAGTTTTTGTATTTTTCTGATTTCTGTAGTTCAACCTCCCTTTCAATTAGCATCTCTTCTCTCTTCTCTCTCTCTCTCTCTCTCTCCCTCTGTCCATCAGTCCTCTTGTCACTGAAGATCACCCCCGGCTTAGCTGCTACACAGCGAGACATTCTCATCAAAGACTACCATTCTTTCATTCTTCCTCAACCAAATCACATAATCAATATTTCTGTCTCCACCTCAAAACATGTCTCTTGCAGACAGTGATTCCTTGAACTCCAAAGTTACCCAGAAACAATTAAAAATTAATAAATCCTGAGCAAGATTGTTCTGATTTGAAACATCATTTTGAGGCTGATGGATTTTCCGAACTCAGGTGTGCTAAAAAGGTCGTCTAGGGTACAGTTCGTGTGAACTCCGGTGGGATCCATGCTGGTACGAGTGCAAACATCCTAAACTGCAAAAGTGAACTGCCTATTAATGACATGTAGTTCTGAGCTTTGTCAGTTATTTTTAATTTTAATTCCACTGTTTAGAGGTTTGAGAAGCAACTTTTGGGAGCAGCATTGCAGACACTGAAACAATAAAATAAATGTGAGGACATGTTTTTCCATTGATGAATAATCTATAAATGGAAAAGCACATAATGTATGTGCTTTTGTATGTTAATCACATCAAAATAAATGTACTTCTTTGACAAAATACTATTAAACATAATGATGTAAAAAGTACTTTGAAGTAAAACTTTTAATTATTACATTATTACAAATTGCACTTTTTAAAAGTCTACTTAAGTGTGTTAAGAAACACTATCATAAAAGTGTGCTCACTTTAAGTACACTTAAGATGCCTTTTATTACAATAATAATTTGCAAGTACTTTTTAATTCAAGTACTTTTTTTTCTTTTTAAATATATTTAAATATACTAAGTACACTTAAGTGCACTTATTTTTAACAAGGAACTGTGCACACACACTCTGCAAAGTTTAGGAATTACATATATTTTAAAATGTGGAAATGTTTCTACATGTGTATGGAATACACGAGTCACTCCTGAACTCATGATAGTTGACATGGTGATAACAATAGCAAAGCTCTGGATTCTTGTGGCTGTAAACAATAAAATAACACGGATCAAAACATGGATGCTGAAATGAGCTGTCAGTGTCCAAAAGATACTTGTGTCAACTAGTCGCGGTGTCTTACAGGTGTGCATACTAGAACAGCGTGGGTATTTTGTTGCAGACTAGTCACAGACTTAAAACATCTAAGAGTGACAAGCTACAGTCTTGTAAAATGTGTGAACATGGCCTACATTTGACCACGTTACTATCAGCCTGTACCATGTCAACAACGTGTTCAGCAGAAGCAATGAAGAGGTTTTTAGCAGAAACATGAGACGGCTACAGCAACCATACAGAAATTGAGGTCCTAGAGTTTCACAGCCACAGTCCTTTTCCAGTGTCAGATTGAAGAGAAAAAGTCTGAAGCATGGATTCTAGAGGAGGGGTTCATGTGCCCTGCGGGCTCAGATTAATGACTCAAAAAGAATATATCTATTCTATTGAGAAATCGTGGTGAGTGCAAAGAAGAACTGGAGGTATTATTAATACATAAGTGGAATATTTTGAATGAGAAATGTCTTTTGTGAAGGGCTGATATGAAAGAACTTTCATAGAAAAAGGTTTGGCAGCACTTCACTCACATATGATTAGTCACGTTCTGGAACAAACACTCACACGTATATAAATACATACATACATAAATACATACATGTACGTATACATATCATTACTCCAGTCTTCAGAAATCATTCTAATATGCTAATTTGCTGCTTAAAAACAATTCTGATTGTTATTCATGTTGAAAACCGTTTTTGCTGTTTAATATTTTTGTGGAAAACCATTACTTTTAGAGGATTTACTGCAGCATCTTTTTTTTATAACATTATACATGTTTTTAATGTCACTTTTGATCAATTTCATGCATAATTGAATGCAATAAAATAAAAATAAATAAATAAATAAATAAATAAATACATCTTACAGACCCCAAATGTGAATGTTAGTGTGTGTCATGCATGTGATTAATATACAGTGGTCAAATTACAAAAGTGACATTATATATAAAAGAAAAACTGCGTAAGAGAGGTTTGTTAGATTTCAAACAATAGTCTAAAATGAAAACAGCAGAAGTTTGATCAGATGACACTTGATTGGATTTTTCCTCCATTCATTTTAAGTGTAATTTAAGGTTATTAAAATGTCTAAATACCTTTGGGAGCCAATGTAGGTTCTTTAGATATATTTTAATCTAATAAAGCTGTGCTGTTTGCTAATAACACTTTTGCTTCAAGTTTCAGAAACTCATTCTCCTTCAGTTTCACATTACTCCATGCCCTTGTCTTTTAAATCTAACCCAGCAGGCATATACTTGTAGAATTGCTTGTCAAACCCCCTGTAAACTCAGCGGGCTCTCACCTCATACTCCTGCTTGAAGCCGTAGCCCTCTCCTGTCTTCATCTGGTTGATGTGTTGGAGCAGGTCTGCCACTCTCACGGCCGGGTGGAGCTGGCCTGTGTGGTACGGAGAACTTTTCCTCCTGCAGTGTCTTCTGGGAGAACCACCCAGCAGGCTGCTGGACTCATTCACCGTGCTGCGCTGCTCGTCTGAGGAGCGAGAGGAAGAAGAGAGAGAAAGATAAACACAAACTGACCCAGGTGCAAAGGGAAGAAGCTACAGTGCGCTCAAAGGTAACGTGTAAATTGCAGCGGGAGTCGCTTCACTGGAGGTGGTTGTGCGAGTGTGAATTGAAGTAAAACTGCAGGGGTGGAGATGTTAGAAAGGTGTTGTAAGAAGCAGACGAGATATGCTGGTCCAGCTTGATGAAGATTCATATATGAACCATCTGCCTTCCATGTAGTGGTTTTGGCAGATTTTTAACTGGGGCACGAGCTCCAGAGAAGTACTGCTGTGTCCCAGTAAAATATTACTGATAAATCCTTGTCTGGTTATGGAGATAACCATATACCAATCAGAGAATCATTTTTACCTCATAATATTGCACTTTATTTGATAGTCTACTTTACACAGTCTGCTAACTATAAGTACCTTTCCAACTAGATTTGCATCTACAAATGTCCCAGTGACAGCTTTTGTACCTTTTTTTTTCTGAGAGTGTATAAGTAACTTTTCAAGTACATGTCAACTTATTTTACTAACCGTAACCATAACCTGACAGTCTACTAATAATCTAATGAGAGTTAGTCGACGTAGTTGCAAATCACTGAGAGTTAGTTGACATGTTATTACAAAGTTACTCATAATTAGTAGAATGCCTACAATGGACTATTGAAATAAAGTGTAACCATCTTCAGAAATCAATTTCTATCAGCGGTTTAAAATCAGAACTGTAACATGCAATGCATGATTTGCAAATTAATCACTTCTGAACTAATCAGTCAAAGTGTTTGCAAAAAGGTTTGAAATAGAGGTCTGCAATCCCATGGGATCCGTGGGACCCGACCCAGCAGAGTCAAGCTTTTAATTGCTGAGAGTGGGTAATTGCTAATAGTGATGCATGTGCAGAAAGTGGGAGAAAGAAATGAATCAGGGGCTCCTGCAAAATATAAATATTTCAAGATGAAATACAAATTAATTAATTATATTTTATGTTATTCATGTTATTTGTCTGTGGAACAACAAACGTGAAAGTCACGGATGGGAGTGGGACAAAATATGACACATATTTGTGCATGAGCGAGACAGAATCTTGCTGGAGAAGGACTAAAAAAATGCATCCCGCATAGACCTCTAGTCTAAAGTTGTTTGAGATTCAGTCTTATTACTTTGGGCAGTTCATTTCCACAGGGAAACTGAGTCTCAACGATAACTTGCAAACCATTAAAGATGAATCTACTGTGAGCTCTGTGAGCTCGGAGGTTGTTAAGAGCCATCTTTTGCTTTTGTTGGAGCCATCTGTTCGCATTATTCCAACTTGTTTTTAAAATAATTGTGTTTAACAGCTAAATTTGGGGTAAAAAAAAAAAATCACACAGCAAAATTACATAATTGAAAAAAAAAACAGAATAGAATAGAATGGAATAGAATAGAATAGTTCAAACCAATGCTACACAGCCAAGTACATGATATAAGCACAGATATCTGGAGACAGGCAGAGGCAGACAGCGCTCTCATTTACTGGCATTCAACAACACTCTTCTGTTCCAGGGGACGATAAGGAAACTGACTCAAGACTCAGAGAGCAGTGGGAGCATCTTTAATATGTGGAGAGCAAATGCAAACAATGACTAATGGAGATAAACAGCATTAATGGTGTATTGTGACTGTAAACATCCCAACAACACTGTTTACTTGTTCACCTGTTTTCTAATACATGCATTATCTATTGGAGAGAGAGAGAGAGTGTATGTGTGTGTGTGTGTGTGTGTGTGTGTGTGTGCAATGCTTAGCCACTAGAGATGTAACGATTAACTCAATTCATGATGTGATACGATTCACGATACTGATTTCACAATATGATTTTCTCACAATTTTTTTAACAAAATGAGAACTGAAAAGGCGTCCTTTTATTATTTTTCAGACAAGATTCTGCACATTTCTTTGTGAAATTGAAATATGTCACATAACAAAACTAAACTGAAATGTTAAAACAAATCCTGAATCAAATAAATAAATAATACAAATAAAATAAATATATTCATATAAACAGACTAAGGCTTTGCCTGCCCTGAGCCCTTTCCATTCAAAATTAGAGGCAACCACAGTATTTTAATCACGATCCAAACAAAGTTGCGGCATAAACGCAGCATGAACAGTTTATTTTTATTTTTTTTATATTGTATAATTTCAAAATTTAAAGCAAAAACAGAATAGTCTGACTTTAGCTTTGTGAAACTATACTACTAAAACACATCTGCAGGAAACAGAAACAGCAGAAGCTACAAACTACAAACTAGAAGAACTACAAACACGCATTAAAAGTGTTAAGAACTACAAACATGGTGGATATACGTGACCAACGGACAGGTAGATAAATGGATTTGAGTGATAAATAATCAATGTCTAACCTTGGATGATGTTAACTGTGATAAGATGATTGACAGGGCAGTGACAGAATGCACGTAACTAAGCAACAGAGCATCCGTTAAAGAAGCAGCTATGACAAAGTAGTATGTCCCAAGGCTTGCCTACTATTCTTCTACATATTCAACAGTATGTACTTTTTCTTCACAAAAAGAGTACATATTTTTAGGGCATAGTATAAGTAGGCGAATTGGGACGCAGCATATGACAGCAGGAACCGCTTATGGAGCAGCAGCAATAGAGAATGAGGAGTTACGTCACGATCTTTTCACTCCGCATTGCATTTCGGGAAGGCGCCGCCATATTAGCAGGATACGCTATCCGTTCCCATGGTTACTTCTCATTCTCTATAAGGATAAATGCTTATCTTTTGTTTTGTTTTTGCCTTTAAGTTAAACAACCATTCATTCTTCATTGTATCGTTTGCAGGGAAGAGAAGCTATTTGGCGTTACGTCACATTCTCATTCTTTATACAGCGTTTCCTTGGTTACCGCTGTAAACAAAGCAGCTGCGCTTATAAACACTGCTTTAATATGCATTATTCAGAGACAAGATGAAAAAAAAATAGCAATTAAACTTTTCTGAAGATAGTCAGTTGCCATCAGAGACACAATCATATAACCCCCACCCTCAATTGTATCACGATTCATTTAACATCTCAACCGACTTGAATCATCACATATTTTTATTGATTTTCGACAGGCTCGGGCTGCATCGTTACATTCCTATTAGCCACCATACAATAGCCCCTTTCGCACCACATAGTTCTGGGAACTAAGTTACAGGTACTAGCCAGTCGGGTAGTTCCCCGCGAACTTTAGGTTCCCCCGGGCCATTCATCCGGTTCATTCAGTACTTCCACCAATAGTTCCAGGAACTATGAAAAGGTTCCTCCGGTGCGAAAGGGGCTAGTATGTCTAGAATTGGAAATTAATGTTTAAATTATGGGCTGTAATTATAGCAGGTTTTCATTACACAATTATCATAATTAAAATAATGACATCGTAATAATATTGTTATTGCAATCTAGAGATAATAATAATAATAATAATAATAAAGTCAAATTTTCAAATTCATCTTTTATGTTGTTAATTTTGTGTTTTCTCTTTTTTTGGTAAATGAATCACACTCAAAATGAGTGTCAAAACCAGTTTAAGGAGGCAGAGAGAGAGAGGGAGAGAGAGAGAGAGAGAGTTGGTAACCATAACTATTCAAAACTATACAAAAAATAAAAATAACTTACTGGCACTTCCTACAGACTGGGGTGTCTGACATTCAAAAAAACACTGTTGAGCAAGCTTTTTTTTCCAAGTATGGCTAAAGTGTCTCTTTTTCATCAACTTTTCAACTTTATTTTGTGGGACATAGACACTTCATCATCTTCTTATTTTTTCCATTGTATGGGTGCAATATCGTCACCTACTAGGCTGAAGTGTCAACCAGATGTGGTTAATGGCACTGGAGTATTTACAATATTATCATTTATGTAGTAGAAATAGGCATAGATAAATCCCATAGAAGATCTAGATAGGTGGAACTGGGGGAGGTGGAGGGTTTCAGAGGAACTTTGACAGAACGCTGCACAACCAGCTTACAGTGAACATTTGGATTTCAGGATCTGGACTTGGAGGATCCATTACTGGTCTGGGTAACAGGGGGTCTGGCATTTGTGTGGATCTTGTGGATCTCTTCCAATCGTCAAATACTGAATTACTTGAATTATCAAAAACAGGCCTTAACACATGATTAAAATATATAATTCATTCATTCATTCAGAATATCAGTTTACCATAACCTGGTACTAAATACTTATGTTTGTCTGTGTAAGGAGCAACTCTTTCCGCTGTGTGTGTTTGTGTACTCACTTCTAGCAGTGCAGTTATGTGAGTCCATGAAGGTGTGCGCCGTGCGATCGTCCTGTTGCAGTGTACTGTGCTCTGTCGTACTGCAGTCCAGTGACCCCAGCTTACGCGTCTTCTCCTGACGATACGTCATCACCGCTTTATTAATGTTCACCTTCTTCCTGCTGCAGAGTAGCTAGTATGTCTAGAATTGGAAATTAATGTTTAAATTATGGGCTGTAATTATAGCAGGTTTTCATTACACAATTATCATAATTAAAATAATGACATCGTAATAATATTGTTATTGCAATCTAGAGATAATAATAATAATAATAATAATAAAGTCAAATTTTCAAATTCATCTTTTATGTTGTTAATTTTGTGTTTTCTCTTTTTTTGGTAAATGAATCACACTCAAAATGAGTGTCAAAACCAGTTTAAGGAGGCAGAGAGAGAGAGGGAGAGAGAGAGAGAGAGAGTTGGTAACCATAACTATTCAAAACTATAAAAAAAATAAAAATAACTTACTGGCACTTCCTACAGACTGGGGTGTCTGACATTCAAAAAAACACTGTTGAGCAAGCTTTTTTTTCCAAGTATGGCTAAAGTGTCTCTTTTTCATCAACTTTTCAACTTTATTTTGTGGGACATAGACACTTCATCATCTTCTTATTTTTTCCATTGTATGGGTGCAATATCGTCACCTACTAGGCTGAAGTGTCAACCAGATGTGGTTAATGGCACTGGAGTATTTACAATATTATCATTTATGTAGTAGAAATAGGCATAGATAAATCCCATAGAAGATCTAGATAGGTGGAACTGGGGGAGGTGGAGGGTTTCAGAGGAACTTTGACAGAACGCTGCACAACCAGCTTACAGTGAACATTTGGATTTCAGGATCTGGACTTGGAGGATCCATTACTGGTCTGGGTAACAGGGGGTCTGGCATTTGTGTGGATCTTGTGGATCTCTTCCAATCGTCAAATACTGAATTACTTGAATTATCAAAAACAGGCCTTAACACATGATTAAAATATATAATTCATTCATTCATTCAGAATATCAGTTTACCATAACCTGGTACTAAATACTTATGTTTGTCTGTGTAAGGAGCAACTCTTTCCGCTGTGTGTGTTTGTGTACTCACTTCTAGCAGTGCAGTTATGTGAGTCCATGAAGGTGTGCGCCGTGCGATCGTCCTGTTGCAGTGTACTGTGCTCTGTCGTACTGCAGTCCAGTGACCCCAGCTTACGCGTCTTCTCCTGACGATACGTCATCACCGCTTTATTAATGTTCACCTTCTTCCTGCTGCAGAGTATGAAAGACAACAAATGAAGAGAGAATACAAGGACTGTAAATGAGCCTAAAAGAGAAAATACATAAACACGGGTGGAGAGGGTTAATAAGAGAAGAGGATTCTTCAATATACACCATCACCAGTAATAGGAACTAGAGCTTTAAATGTAAAGAAAATGTAGGTGGGACTTAGCCAGGTCAGTGCTATATGGTGATCGTAGCATGTTCCCATGCTTTTGCTGGGGTGGTTGCTAACTGGTCAAAATTCATGATCATCTCGATTTCTAGATGTGACAGTGGTCGCTCTTCCAATGTAAGTCTAGGGCATTCTTTTTTAATCAATTTATTTGAAGGGGAAAAAAAATGTAGAAAAGCAATAACACACATCTCCTCAAGCCACATGCATTACTATATAACAACACTATATTAAAAAGAGTGGAGATATAGACAGGAAAGTAACAGAGAAAGTAAGACAGCAATTGAGAGTTTGGCTAATCTCCAACAAATCAACACTAAACAACAGAGGCCGATGGGAAAAAGAATGGAACCTGATGAGGAAATGACTTACGGGTAGTAAGGATACGAATAGATGTCCCTTCTGAAGAGCATGAAGAGAGACAGAAAAAACATGTAGGTTTGGCTGGCTTCTAGTACATTTACATTTGGCAAATGCTTTTATCCAAGGCAAATTACATCGATTTCAAGATTTTCATGAATGCATTGTCTGGGAATCGATCCAATGACCTTTGCTTTTGCTAGAATCATGCTCTAGTGTTTAAACTACAAGTTATCAGGCAAGTTACCATGCTAATTACTCGTATGCTGAGATAAACATCTGTCCTTAGCTTCATGCCAGTTTATGACACGTATGAAAGCAGATTGGCTCCCGACTGGTTTCAGTACTTGGCTTTACTACAACTCTCAAATAATTTGCTGGTAATATACTGTAGTAGGCTTATCTGAATCTGAATGAACAATTGTTTATTATTTCTGAGTCTCATATTAGTTAATGATATGAAGTAATTGTGTTGGCTCCTTTAGAACTTAGTTATTGGCTCAAACTCTTTGTTTTTATACATTACAATGTCTTAAAGACACAATAGTAACACTAGTGTAGTGATGCACAAAACACCGCTCACACAAGTCACTTTCAAAATAAGCTGTTTTTTTATATATATTTCTCTATGCAAATTTCACAGAGCATTGATTAATGTAACTGCACCTTTAATTTTGCATGCACTTGATATTTCTCCTTGGCCAAATGATGATACATTGAATTTTATTTAATATCTTAAAGATAAAACAGTCTTACGTACTATGAAAACATATTTTAATTTTCAGAACACAAAATTTCTGAACTTCTAGAACTTTCTAATGTCACACAGACGACTGATGATAAATGAGTACAGTGGAGGTTTATGTCAAATATTGCCCTGTTTCTATCTGTGTGTAGCACCTGCTGCTCTGCAGATCCCTCAGAACAATCATAGCTTTAGAAATGAGAGGCTTATTTTGAACAAGATCCCTGATTTCAGACTGATGTCAACAGTTTGAATGGCATATTGCACTCACAGAATTGTAAAACGATTCAACTTTACAAAGAAAGAAAGAAAGAAAGAAAAAAGAAAAAGATCCTTAAAAAGTTTAATATGCTTAATGAGTTGTCTTTTGCCCTTTATTTGGCAACTAAATGTATGTGTTGTGCTTTGGACTCGTAAGCATTTCACATATAAAAGGGGTCACTTTTATTTAGATGTATTAGTATTATAAAAAAGTATTGTCATAGCCTATGTGTGTCCTCTTACATCAGATTCTTAAAATTAATCAGATTAATCAATCCTATCCAAATAAAAAGACATGTTGGCTATTAACAATCACATTGAATCACTATCAACACTCAACTTCTCATATACATGGATCTAATGTGAAAACTGTAAATTTATTGCATTCTGCTTTTAATATTGTGTCATCTTTTTAAAGGGGTCATATGATGCAATTTCAAGTTTTCCTTTCTCTTTGGAGTGTTACAAGCTGTTCGTGAATAGATAAGATCCCTAAAGTTGCAAAGACTAAAGTCTCAAACCCAAAGAGATATTCTTTATAAAAGAATGTCGTGAAGACGCTGTGTGGTTCGTTAAATACATTGTTTGGTCTTCCAAAAGAGGACACGACTAGATATATATATATATATATATATATATATGTATATGTTATAAAAACAGAAACTCATTTAATTTTTTTTTTAATCATAGCTATGTGTGACGGCAGTGAGATGGGAGAGATCGCTCAAAACTCTTCAGATCTCATAATTTAGTGGAACATTAATTATAGAATCAATCATCCTCTGTAAAGTAATGAGGCGTGATCATATGAGAATTTATCATTATCTTTCTAAACGTGCAGCACACCTCGCTTTTCAGACCGATGAGCTTTGTAAAAATCGACGCATTTCAGAAAGGCGGGGCATAGAGGAGAAACAATAATGTACAGTATGTGGAAAATAATGTTTTTTGAACCTTAAACTGCATAAACACATTTCATTACACCAAATACACAAAATAATGTTATTTTTAGCAACATCATATGACCCCTTTAATATAATTGTATTTTTTTGTTTTTTTTAAGGTTTAAATTGTTTTTTTTTTGTTTTTTTTAAGTCTACCAGGGGTGGGATGGGTTGGGTTGGTGTGGGTTCTAGATTTGCACAGTTGCTTTTTGTTTTATAGTACAGTTTCTACTCGGCCTAAAAAAAAATCATTTTTTTTTAATCATAGCTATGTGTGACGGCAGTGAGATGGGAGAGATCGCTCAAAACTCTTCAGATCTCATAATTTAGTGGAACATTAATATAATATAGAATCATCCTCTGTAAAGTAATGAGGCGTGATCATATGAGAATTTATCATTATCTTTCTAAACGTGCGCTCTTTTGGGCTAAAGGATTAATGGAGCTGTTTAAAGTAGTCATGTGATGACAGATTAATCGTTGCTATAATGATTCAATATGTGTGTCCTTCTTCTATGTGATTTAATCATAAATACCAGTTTATGCTGTTTGATTATGGCCTCGAAGGTCGTAGTTGGAAGCTGTTAGCCCCAGCTGGCAGTGGAAATGCAGCTAATAATGTCTGACTGGCATAACTGTACAAATCAAAGAAACGTAAAGGCGGGGCCCATGGGCTGCAGCCCAGACAAGTCCAATGGTAAGTCCAGCCATGCCTGTATTCGAGAAAACACGTATTATCTTCTCTCAGAGAGTAAACCAACCAGTAGCTGTACTTCACATACAACATGAGTCATTAAATTACAGCCCAGGAAAATCACATTTCCACACATTCAGCCAGTCATTACAGCAAAATAAACCCCAGCACAGTGTGGAGGTTTTTTGTGTGAAACCGAAAGCCTTTATTTTGCAGTAATGACAGGCTGCCTGTACATTATAGTGTTTATTACACAGCTGCAGATTGACCAATCACGATGAAGTATTCCAGAGAGCTGCGTAATAATAGTGAATAAAGCAGTTCGGAGGTACTTACTGTACCTGTCCTCGCTGTTCCCAAAGCATTAGAATTTGTCATGTCTGAGCAATATTTCAGCTGTGAGTTGGGAGCCAGCTCTAATTTAATTAGTTAAACCTTTGAGGATGTGTTAAAGCGCCAGGTTTATTACTGTGTCTGGACGGCGCTGCTGCTGATGGTGTCATGTGACGCTGTGAAGAACATCTAGAATTGGATTTGATTTTAATTGGATCTGAGCGCACACATGCTCACCCTTTCTTGACAACAACAACGATGGCTCCCAGCAGGAGGATGAGAACAGCCAGCCCCCCGGCACAGGCCCCCAGGATCAGCCCCATGTCCTCGGCATGCTGGGACACCTCCAGAGCTCGCTTATGGTCCTTACAGGCCTCTGAGAGTGGAAAGACAAACAGCAAATGAATGAATGAAAGTGAGAGAAAGACAAATGGCTTCATATCATTTAGCTGAATGTCGGTGGTACAGTAAAACAACACAAATAAGAATATACTCAAATATTATTTCAACATAATGCTGCTAATTAGGGCTGTGTGAAATATCAAATTTAAATCTATTTAATATTATTTTGGCATAATCATAAAAATATCAAAATAATGTTTTACTACTAATTATGTTTTCTATAGACAATGTATAAGTATGAAAGTGGTGAGAGCCTATGTGGCCTTTTCCATTTTAAAATGGTTTAGTAAAAATATATGTAAATCAGTTCTGTCTTCATTATTTTAGATACATTTTACTGTACATTAATTCTGGATTTATACAGCTCTGGAAAAAAAAAATTAAGAGACTACTCCTTTTTTTTCTTAAATCAGCATCTCTACATGTATGGCAGCCATTCCACCTCATGCTGTTTAATGAAGTACTGATCAGATGATCACCTCAACCAAATCTTATTTAACGAGAAAAAGTATAAAAACCACAGCTGTGCTCATCACTATCCTCTTGCAATAGGACCAGCTGGATGGCAAAATTAGTGCTAGTACTACCTCAAAAGTAACTGGAATTGGCAGAGGGATACAATGAGTGTCAGGTTGCTTCCACCCTTAAAATTTCAAAGACAGCGGTTCATAAGAACAAGGTCAAGCTGCAGACACTGGGGACAACAAAGCTACAGACCAGCAGAGAGTGAAAACGACTCAGCCAACTCATTCGAATGTCACTCAACAATTGTAGGATGACATCAATTGACCTACAGACCTACAGAATGGCAAACGGCAGCTGGGGTGAAGTGCTCGGCGAGGACAGTTTGAAACAGTTGCTCCTGGGGTCAAAGCTAGAAAAAATGCTTCATCAATGAGAAGCAAAGAAGAGCCAGGCTGAGGTTTGTAAAAGAGCATAATGATTGGACCGTAGAGGACTGGAATAAGCTCATCTTCTCTGATATATCCAGTTTTCAGCTTTGCCCAACACCTGATGGTCTAATGGTTAGACGGAGACCTGGAGAGGCTTAGAAGCCACCCACTGTAAAATTTGGTTGAGGATCGGTGATGATCTGGGGGTGCTTCAGCAAGGCTGGAATCGGGCACCTTTGTCTTAGTGAAGGACGCATGAATCAAGCCATGTACAAGGTTGTTCTGGAAGAAAACATGGTTCCTTCTGCTCTCTCTCTCTCTCTCTCTCTATATATATATATATATATATATATGATAAAAACATAATTTCTATATAATAAAAAAACACAATCTCTTAGCAAATACATTTTAATTCAAATATATATTTAATCATCGTCCATACCGTGAAAATATTGAGATATAATTTGCCCAGTCAAAGCCCTAATACTCCAGCACAGTGCATTATCTCAAGCAGCAGATGAGAATTAGAAGATTAGAACAGAGGTCAGGTGATGCTGGCAACGCACGGCTGCATGTTAATCTGCTGAAGGTATCACAGCGCTTGGAGGGAGATGAAGAACCCGTTTATCAGCATCAAGCAGCACATGAATGAGCCACAGGGGAAGAAGCTCAACCCGGGGTGCCCTTGGAGCGAGAGCAGACCGGGTCTTGGGTAAATTGGGGTCAGGTCAGCGATGCACAAGTTCTCGTTTCTGGTTATATTATCAGAGGTCCAGCTCCCAAAGCTGAGCATATTGGATAGACGTTAGAACTTTCAAAACCCACCTTTTACTGCCAACTTTCTCTCCTTTCCCAAATATTTTTTTATGCCATATGATCTTCCTGTTCCTTGAAAATAACACAGATTTAGTCAAAATCGACACCATTTCAGCTTTAAAATGATATGGGAACAGGCTAGAACATGCAGTGCTGACGATCTAGTGTCTTAAAATCAACACATTTTAGAAAGTTTGCCCACTCTGAGAAACAACCGAGTTGAACGTCTCGTTCCAAACAAGTTTGGCAAGAGCAACAGTTATTTTTTATTCAGTCCAGTTCGGAAAGAAACAGCCTGCACATACAGAACCGGATCTGGCGACATTTCAGTCCAGCATTTGATCACTTGAGAGTCCATTGATGACAGCTGCGCCCACTGGTCGCAAACTTGAGGAAGAAAGTCATGGACTAAACCTGGCAGCCATTTTGAACATGCTCCTCCGGTTTTGTGGGTCTCAGTGTCTCCATTTTCTCTCTCTGTAAATGCAGTCAATTTCCAAACAGCAGAGCAGCATGAAATCTCTTTCTCTCGATTAATTTAAGCCCCTGTGGTGCTTCCAAAAACACAAATTGCCATTTGAAAAATCACAGGGATGGAAGTGCATCATTATGCCATCTGCTGTAGGTAATTACATATTAAACTGTAATTACAATATCATTGATGAAATAAATACCTAAATAATAGAATTTGACGGATAAAACAAGGAGGATAAAGGGACATTCTGCTGGTGGGCTACCACAGGATAGTATAGTATGTTCAGCAGTAGCAACACAATATTTTTGCAGCATGTACTTCAATTCTTTAATTGCTTTATGAATATGAACTTGCAAGCTAATTATCAGAATAATGAAGTAATTACTACTTTCATAAAATAGCCACTTACTCAACCACTAACAGTACAGAGCAACAGCCTTGAACTAAAGCTTGTATTTTATTTTTACTCCATAGCATTTTGACATTTTGTACATTTGTGCTGGTTTTTTTATGCTTTTTTTTTTACATTTCTTCACATAGCAGTAAGAGGTCAGAGACTTTCAAAGCCTTCCTTCAAAAAAATCTGCATCATATGCACACTTGCAAAGCCTACTCAAAATGAGGTTTCGGTAACACTTCCTATAAAACCTGTATTTATAATGCATTATAAGGGTATTCTCATTGTTTATAATAAATACATAATGCCTTATAAACAACCTTATAATATGTTGTTGTCATGGTCATCGGCTGGTGTTCCCTGGATGGCCACCAGAGGACATTGTCTTTGTTTGAGATATCAAGATGGGCGGGCTAAGACAATAGACAGGAGAGCAGATGGCACCAACAAACGCACAACAAGCCATGTGCTCTCCTGTCTATTGTCTTCCCCCGCCCATCTTGATTTCTCATTATTGTTTCAGTTGCTCCACCTGTGTCTCCCTGGTTACCCTCCTCGTGTGTCTCCCTATTTATTCTCCTTGTGTCTGCAGTCCTGTGCTGGTTGGATGTAAATTTGCAGATGTATTTGTCACATGTATTTGAGGTTACCCGTGTTGCTGATCCTGCCTTGCTGTGTTGTGCCTTGTTCCTGGACTGCCTGCTTGTTTTTCCCCCTCGGGGTAGTTTTATTTTTATTTAAATTTTTTTATTTATTTATTATTAAATAAAGCCCAATTCTTCCTGCATCTTGAGTCCTCGCCTCATCCCTCACCTGACCCGTGACAGTTGTATTGTCTCATGAATAATCGTAACAACAGTAATAATACTTTTTTATTATCATTATTTGTGGTGAAAATGTTCAAAGCAAATCAAAAATGGTCAGTGCAAATGTGTCATAACCCATGCATGATGTTATATGGCTGTTGAAAAGAGACCACTCATAAGATTTAGTACAATACTATGCAGATCATAAACAATGTCACGATGAAAGTAAAATATATGAAACTATGGGATATATAACCCATTATAACTTAAGTTGGTAAAATTATGTTCATTGTGTGTTATAAATCACCATACTCTTAATAGTAATAAGCACAAATAGGTAAGCATTATTACTGTTATGTTTATTCATGAGATATTACAACACATTATAAGTTTGTGTTTGTTTGTTTTATAATGCATTATGCAGGCATTATGCCTGCATAATGCATTAAGAATACCCTTATGATGCATTATAAATGCAGACTTTCTGGTATTATAATGAATCATACTCTTAAAAGTTACAACCACAAATAGGTAAATATTATAATGTATTTTAACTGTTGTTGTGATTATTTATCAGACAATACAGCATTATAAAGTTGTTTATAAAGCATTATGCCTGCATTATAATGCATTAAGAATACTTTTATAATGCATTATAAATACAGGCTTCATAGAAAGTGTTCCCAAGGTGTCTTTCTAAGCTTTCTCATTAGCCAAATCTGAAGGCAGCATGGCATATATCATTCACAGATTTAAATTCCAGAATGTTTTCAGTGAAAAATATTACAAAAAATAGGAACATGCTGGGAAATGCTGATTATAAATATTGATTATATTACACTTTATGGGAAGTGTATGGCCACTCTGATTTATGAATGCATTATCTCAGTTTTGCATTGTTTTAGAATAATTCAACAGCCCAGCATTAATTATTCTACTTTCAAGACATTGTTTTATGTCAGGTTTTTGTTGTTAAAATGTTTGTGTAAAACCAATGTCACGATCCCAGGCTACTGCCACTCTATCAAGGACTTCATTCCCCATAATCCTCTGCCCGGTCTCATCAGCACTCATTGTTTGCACCTGTGTCTCATTAGCCTTGTTAGCTCACCCTATATAAGCCCGGTTCTCTCAATCATTCATTGTTAAGTCTTGCTAGTGTTTGAACTGAAACCACACATACCAAGCTCCGGTGTCCACATAGCTTGGCACACCATGGTCACCAGCATGTCCTGTGATAATGGTCGCTAGTCCTGTGCTTTCAGCACCTTCCCGTCCTGTTGTTATCGCACCAAAGCCAGTTCACAAGATGGCCGCCAGTCCAGAACCTCTCCACAACATGGCTGCAGTTCCAGAGCCTCGGCCCGTCAAGGACACCACTCCGGAGTCCCCAGCCATCATCGACATCATACCAGAGTCTTCAGCCGTCATGGACGCCACGCCAGTGTTCCTGGCTGTCATGAACATTGCACTTGAAGCTTGTAGGGCAGTGCCCAGGCAGTCGAGACTGACGTCCAGTGTGGCGGACACACCGCTGATGTCGGTATGAGCAGCAGGCATCTCGGTGGCCTCAGCACCCTCAAGCTCAGTGATCTCAGAGGTTCTCCCACTTTCCGCTGCCCTTCCAGTAATGGCGGTCGCCATTTTGTGTGTTTAGGCCAGGGGTGCCCAAACTTGGTCCTGGAGGGCCAGTGTCCTGCAGAGTTTAGTTCCAACCCTAATCAAACACACCTGGAGCAGCTAATCAAGGTCTTACTAGGCATACTAGAAACTTCCAGGCAGGTGTGTTGAGGCAAGCTGGAGCTAAACTCTGCAGGACACCGGCCCTCCAGGACCGAGTTTGGGCACCCCTGGTCTAGGCCATACACACTTCTGAGGTGGCGGAATCCACTCCAGAGTCCGCTCCAGTCCATGAGTCCGCTGCAGTCCATGAGTCTGCTCCAGAGCCCGCTTCAGTCCATGAGTCCGCTCATGGAGTGCAACAAGTCAAATCTAAATTGGGCATTAAAAGCTGCAGTGTAAAAATGGCCTATGATGCTTTAAAACTTCCTCTTCCTGGAGATCTACTTTCCTGCAAAGTTCAGCTCAACCATGATCAAACACACCTGAAGCAGCTCATTAAGATCTTCATGTGCACTTGATAATTACAGATAGGTGTGTTGGAGCAGGTCTGGTACTGAACTCTGCAGGAGGTAGATCTTCAGATCTTGATCATACGCAAAGACCCGCCCACCCTTGCTACATCCAACAAACCATGGCGCTCTCACACCACACATCATGTAGCCACACAGTGAAAAATACATTGCAGAGCAAAGAGGACACTGACAACGCCACTCCAGAGTCTCGTCCCATCTTGGCCGCCGCTCCAGAGTCTCGTCTCTTCATGGCTGCCTTTCCAGAGCCAGGTCAGAGCAGACAGAGCAGGTTACTTTTGGTACGAAACAAAGTCTCAGCTTTCAGATTTTGTCATTTCGTAAGAAATTCAAACAATAAATACCATTTTGTGGCTCTTTCATGTGTCATGACAGATCACTGCAGCGCCTCAGTTCCAGCGGCATTCAGTTCATGGCACTATTTCATTTCTATGATAACTGCAAACTGTGGCTGCATCTGAAAGTTTAGGTAGCTGACTTCTTGTCTTGTTGCACTATAAACCGATGAAATCACAAGCTGTGTTTGCATTTAAATTTACCTCCTGAGACTGATTTCAAACAGGGTTCTGAGGCAGCATGACGGTGTGATGATGAACAGGATTGCACATCTCTGCTTTATGTCTGAGTAGGCAGATCACTAAGCTCATGTTCTTCAGTTTCTTACCTCCTACTACTTTTTGGATTTATCAATGTATCTATTTTTTGTATCTCAGTCTGTTTCTATTATGTTGGCTCACTATGCGAATGAGGTATGTTTTTGTAATATCTGAATTATAATACTAGGTGGATCGTGAGAAAGTCCCCACATTAAGGTAACAAATACCTATTCATCTCTTGCCAAAGTGTGAGTGAGTCCGCAGCAGGGACATTTGGTTAGCGTTGATTTATATGCGCTGTCAATGAGACATACCCTCAAGCGTGTAAACAGTGCAGATAAAGAATGAATTACCTTTACGAGCAATCCGAATGCAGTTGATCCTGGTCTCCTGAGGGTAAAACAGAGAATGGATACAAGTTATCAGGGCTATCTGACGGTGAGCGCATAGCGCGTGTGTGATTTATGTGTATATCTGACTAGAAATCCCACAGGCAGCCAGAATTAAATAGAATGCATTTGATGGCATTTACTAGCAAATGAATGAGAACATCAGCTGGACATGATTATTTTTATTTGCAAGCATTACAGGAATGTTACTTTTAAATGTACTCTGAACATTCCGAAACAAGTAGTAGGTAAGTACAAGTGGTAAGTTTTAAATGTTTAAAAACAGAACATTCAGCTAAAACGTTTCACTTAAAAAATAATAATATTAAAAATCCATTAACAATAATTTTGTTAAAGACCATATAACTCTGAATAAACATTATATTAAAATTACAGGAAGAACCTTTATTCATAACTTTGAGAGAATCTTGACAGAATATTCGCTAAAGTTCTGAGAATGCTCTCAGTTAGCATGGACACCTTCTAGGGTTAGATGAGGTACAAAGTTGGCCCTCTAAGCGTACTGTACAGTAACAAGCTGCTGTAGCCCTAAATGCACAATGTTTGCAACTTTGATTTTAATAGATTTGTCATTAACATGTTTCTAAGTTAATAATATACAATATTGTAACTAGCAAAAAATAAATAAAAAATAAAATAAACCTTTCCAGTTAGCACTCTGTGGTGCATTATGGGAGTCTCATAGCTGTAGCATGCCTATGATGTTGCCTAAAATGTTGTCTACATTGCAGCTGACTAGGTTTTAGAGCAGAGCCTAAGAGTCCAGTCCAGCCCTATGCATCTCTTAATCTTTGAAATCCTTGGGTGGTTTTCTTTTTCTTAAATTAAGTCGAGCTTTCAGCGACGATCTTTCAGCATATTTTTTCTTCGCTCTAGCTGGTGGTTGGGAAGGGCCATCTTTGTCTTCTCCTTGGATAGGGGTGTCTTCCTAATGACAAAAATAGACAACAGAAAAGTTTAAGCAATTCCTTGCTTAAATGGTGAACTATAAAACTGATTTTGAAAAGTTAAATCTGATGGTTTGCTTTATGTTATGTTCGATAAAGTCGAGTGACAAATTCAAAACCACTTTGTATGTGTCCACATCATGACAGCATAATGTGTGAGAGAGAAGGGGCAGGGGGGCATTTTTAAATTTCAGTAATATTAACCCTGAAGATTGAACTAAACTTTGCTTAATGCAGTTATAACCGGTTTTCAAACGTTTGCATTTTCAGACCCCCAAATTGCCATCATTTCATAAATTAATGGCCAAAACAAAACATTTCCAGTTTTAGTTGAAAACAGTGTTGTGTAAACACCCCCTTACAACATTTTGCTACTGTTCCCATTCAATTTTGAAAACATTATTTCTGAATGTTCAGAATTTGCAGGTCAGATAAATAATAACCTGAATGAATTTGACTCATCTTGTGCTAGAATAAACTAACTTTGAGCGGCGAGTGTCAGACAGCGTTGAGTGGTTGATGCTGCTGTTTATGGCCTATTATGTATTCATTACTTCCCATTAGAGGAGGGATTTCCAATGCAATTTCATTATTGGATACAATGGTATAGCGATGAGCCAGCCAGCCAACATGAGTCAAACTGAGTGTGTTTGTCTTGTTCTGTAAATCTATAACCCCCCTTTTTTTTTTACTTTGGGGACACTACAGAGTCATTTCCGTGACCAGGAGATATAATACAACTCCACAGGCCTCATTAAAATGACAACTGATGATCAAATGCTTCTCTCTATTGTGCTTGCAGAGGAACTTTCATGTACCGCAGTCTGGATCTCGGCGTATCACCTCAATACATCAAACAACTAAATAAGCAGCATCCTAATAGAAGTAAATAGGATGTTATGTTGTGCTCAAATGATTCATGTCCTTAAGTAGCTTCCCAAGGTTGTTACAGAAGCAGATTATATCTACAGTGGTAGTTATATATTCTCATTAATTGTATAAGCATACATAATTTATCAGTGTATAATTTCCTTGTCTGCCATCTATTTCCCAATTCTCCGCCCAACATCAAAGTTAACTGAAAATGAAGAACTGGTTTTGGGACATTAAGCAAGGTCAAGCAAGAATTGACAGTGCTGGACTTGTAAAGACACATCTCACACAAAAACACATCTGAACCAGCTAATCAAGGTCTTCAGGACCACTAGAAACGTTTAGACAGGTGTGTTGGAGGTCAACTTTGCAGGAAAGTGCCCCTCCAGGAGCAGGATTGGACATCCCTTTCCTAGACACCTCAGATGTTTCAAAGCATTTGTCAGGTGCATCTTTTTGATTTCAGCACAGTTATGTTGCTTTTGAATCTGAAATCCAGAAGTCTGATGTGTAGATGCTAGGCCAGATGTCTTCAGCTTTGCTCCTGAAGACCCTGTCCTGCAGAGTTTAGCTCCAAGCCTGATCAAACACACCTGAGCCAGCTCATCAAGGTGTTCAATTGTTGGAGAAGGTTGGAACTAAACCTAGCAGAACAGTGAGTCTCCAGGAGCAGGGTTGAAGACCTATGAGGTAGGCCAATGACCTACAGGCAATGATACATTATTGCTCATCATGACCTAAAGGAGAAAGTAATTATACTCAAGTCCCCAGTTCCCAGGTTGCTTAGTAGGATATAGAACAGTGTTACCCTTAAGATAAAATGGTACAAACAAATCTTCACAACTGATTGTCGATAACAATATGCTAATGTCAAACTGTAAACTAGGGACACAACAATAATCCAAAGATAGAAGTAAACATTGGGTAAAATAGTCTGTAACGCTGATAGTAATGGGACCATGCCACCCTGCCAGAAAGAGAGTAGAACCATATAAACTATACAACTGTGTACAAATGTTTGATCCAATCGAAACTGGGAGTTTGGTCTCTTCGTATAGTAAGATATCAAGAGAGTAGCTCCTTAACATCATTATCAAAAATTGCAGCTGCCTTTCTTATCCTTTCCAGTTGCTTTTTCTTTCCATCATAAGTCGTTCATTCAATAGTATTTCTCTGTCACACTTGGCGCTCCCACTAAAGTGACGTAAAATAAAAAGGGTCTTAACAAAATTCGAAGACAAGTGGTCACAGGAGATGCACTTCTTATTCCCAGATGGAAACAGTAATGCATGTTTTGGTTGACGACTTGTGAGTGGATCACATGAAACGCATCTTAATACCAGGTGGAAACAGGGCTTCCATCTAGCTCGCTTGGTTTCCGGGATATTTTATATAATTTGCGGGCATCAGGGAGCTGCTTTCAATATGCGGGAGACTTCCAGAAATTCTGAGGGAGGTAGGATGTCAGAGATGGGCTCTTGTGCTGATGTCTCAAGAAAATGAAATGGGGAAATGATCTGATGAGAATACTAGGGGAAAAAAATCAGTCTAGTCTCAAAGAGCTGATTAATTGAAGAGGATAATATGTGTTGCCTTGCAAAGAGTTCAAGAGCTTCAATAGACCTTAATAAGACCTGTTCTGGAAGCACACTAAAGAAGAAAACGATGACCTATTCAACATTTAAAGCTCTTTCAAAATGAACAGAGTGACCTATACTACGTACCTCTACGTCTTTCTACCCCCCACATAGCAATTGTCTTCTGGCCCAGCTCTGGGCCAAACAAGGGCCGTAATTCTTTGCTGCATGTGGGCCGAGTGTAACTGCTTGTTTGGCCCAGAGCTGGGCCAGAAGACAATTGCTATGTGGGCCATTAAATTAACTGGCCATGGCCAAAAGGGTATGGCACTTATATGATTCAGATTATTTGGATCTTGTCAAAGAGTCAATATTGTCACTGTTTGCACTCCTGAACAAGCTGATGAAAGCTCAGCCATTAATATATACATCATAGAGCTATTGTAATGAATGCATGGAAAGTTGGTATCTTCTGAAAAAAAAAAATGCTGCAATGCAAGCAAAACAAATGGAGGATATCAGCAAAGGCTATTCCCTGCTGGATGAAGCTGCTACATCCACATCAAGGAGCAGAGAAGATGCCTCTGGGATATAAAATCAAGGAAGTCACATTAAGTTCTTTACTTAAGCGACACCAAAAATGGTGATGACAGTGCTGCGAAAAGTTTATGTGTGATGATGCACAAGAAGTCTCAAAATGAACCAGGTGTTATACAGCTTGGGGGCCTCTTCTGGAAATTAATTTCAACCTATTCATGACTAGAATGTAACTGCTTCTCATTATGATTGTAGAATTATAGCCGCATAGCTGATAGTCATTATTTTAGTTTTTCAGAGTGCTGCTTCTGTTGAGGTGCAATACACTCCAGGTTCTTATTTAAAGAGTAGACTGGATAGTTTACAATTTTTTAGGTTGTAAATGGGAAGTTCAACTCATTTCAAGCATTTGTACAGTCAAAAAGAATAAAAAAGTATATGCACCCTTTGTAATTTTCTGTATTTCTGCATTGATATTAATTTAAATCACAAGTATAGATAAACATAATCTGACATAACTAATAATACACAAACTACTGCACTTGTATTATTTTTTTATTATTTAATACATTAATCTTTCACAATCAAGGGTGGACAAAGTAAGTGAACCCTGTAATTTCGCAACTTGTAGGTCCTCATTCAGCAGCAAAACCTCCACCAAATATTTTCTGTAGCTGCTCATAAGAATCCCACCCCACAAATTAAATTTCAGTCTATCAGTATTAGGTTGTTTTGGTAGGACAGCTCTCTTTCGTTTATGTCACAGCATATTCACTGGCTAAAAGGTCAGGACTTATTTTCTTTAGTTGATTTACTTGTGTGCTTTGGGTCATTGTCTTGTTGCATCACTTTCTAAAATCATTAACTCCTACAAAATGTTTTGATACTCTTCTGAAATCATTGTTCCTTAAATGACTGAGAAGTGTCCAGGCCTTGAGGCAGTGAAGCAGCGGCAAACCATGATGCTTAATCAACATGCTTCGCAGTTGAGAAGAGGTGTTGTTGTTTCTTTTCTTTTTTTTCTTTCTTTCTTTCTTAAAACAAAGTGTTGTGCATGTCTGATCATTCATTCATGCATTTTTTTTTTTTTCCACTGTTCAACTGTCCACAGAACATTTTCCCATGCACTGTAAAATCAAACAGTGAAATTAATTAAATGAAATAAAAATGAAAGTTCATTGGAATTAATTGAAATAAGTTTTGTGGACTCAAAATGTTGTTGTAATAAGCTGAACTTAAAATGATTGAGTTTTCTAATTCCCAGCATGCTTTGCATCAGACTACAAGGAAAATAAATGTTGAAATTAAGTGCTAATTTGTGTGTTTTTCCACAAGACTAACATAGGGAGACATAAGTGAGTATTTAATGTTGTGTTATGTTAGGATTTACAGAGGTTTCTGTTATGTTGGTTTTGCAGTGTTACCGTTGTGGTGAAGAGTAGAGCCTGAGGTTAGGTTGAGGATGGACAGCAAAACTTTAAGACTAGATACACTGCATGATGTTTGACTATTTACATGCAAGTGTATAGTGAGAGTCTTTGTGATAACTACATTAGCATGTGCTTACGACAAGCCGTTTTGACTTTTATTCATTTATAGGATACGGACACTTGATATCAACAATTTAATTTCCAGTAGTTAAAATGCTAATTCTTGATATCAGGAATTAGTTTTCGACTAGTTACAATTGCTATTTTTGATACCAGGAATTACATTTCCACTAATAAAAAATGTTAATTATTTAAATCAACAATGACGTCATCATTCGCAGAAATCGAATTATTGATATCAAGAATTGAATTTCAACTAGAAAAACTATAATTCTTGATATCTGTAATTGTATTTTCACTATGTCACCATAGGCTGCCATTCAAATTCAATTGTTGATATCAAGAATTGATTTCTTACTAGTTGAAATTCCAATTTCACATATCAGAAATACAATTCTTACTAGTAAAAAACCTTTTTTTATATATCAGTAATTGCATGGTTACTAGAGCAAATGTCTATTCTTGATATCAACAATTGAATAGCTATAGTACAAATTTTTATTTTTTATATCAATAATTCGATCGTCACTAATGACAATATTAATTTCTGATATCATGAATGTGATTGTTACAAGTAAGAAAGCCATTTTAGATATCAGAAATTATATCGATATCAGAAATACATTTTCAGATATCAGAAATGCCAAACTAGTGACAATTGAATTCTTGATATCAGGAATTCACATTTTTACTTGTGTACTTACAAAGTAATTATTGATATCAACAAAGGCAGTTGATATCTGAGATTGCCCTTGCAACTAGTGAAAATAGAATTACTGATATCTTAAATAATATTTTAACTAGTAAAAATACTTTTACAGATATCTAGAAATGCCATTACAGGTAAGTATAGCTATGGTAATGAGTTAATGAATATTAATGAGATCTGGTTTTCCCATAATCCTCTTTTCAGCGTCATTGTAGGTCAAAGATGGAGGACAAATGTTACGGTCCCAATACGGTGTATTGTTTCAAAACTTAGTCTTAGTGGTGATGATTATTAAATTACTCTGTGTACAATCAACGCTTTTTTTTCTTTCTCTTTTTGTCACATCATAAATAAATAAATGCATGAATAAATAAATATTAATAATAAAACAAACATTCATGGTAACATTTTATTTTAGGGTCTCTTAACTAGCTTATTAGCATGCATATAAAGCTCTACTAACTTAAAAACCTTTTACTTTTTTATTGACTGCATATGCTTTTGATTCTTCCCCAATGTAGATTTCAAGATAGAAGATCAAAGAACGGACAAGTCTATTATGCTTGCTAATACAAATGTGAATGCATAATATCTGATAGGGTGGTCAACAATTTAATATCAGTGGTGATATTCTTAATAGACACTGCCTTCTCTCTTCATTGCAGCATAAAATGTTTGGATTATTGCTTGGCCCATTTTTAAGGCATGTTAAGACTTTTTCTCAATCAATCAATCAAAAGACTATTTTTTTCACATTTTAGCTAGCTGACTGGAAATATGACAGATACACTGAGCTAGATAATGCTTAGTTTACAGTAAACCATATTGTATGGCTATCGCTCTGCAATGCTATTTCCCTATTCTTCTTGATCATCAAAATTACCACAATCAATCAATCAATCAATCAATCAAACTAACAGTTACATTTATGGAATACTTCTATCTCCTTGCTTTTTCTCATTGACTTCTCTCTCCAAGCTTTATCCAAGAAAGCTTGTACTAACAAGGAGTACATATGAGTGTTTATTGGGCAGATGTGATCACTCACCCCTCTGAAGTTACTGGAGGCCTGGAAGTAGATGAGATAGTTCTTGCTGGGGTCCAGAGGTGTGTTCCAATAGCCGTTGTAGGTGTGGTTGTCCCCTACAGTGAATGGTGTAGCCACGGGCAAGCTGCTGGGCGGGAGTTCAGCGGTGTAGTAATGAGGCGGAGCACCACTTGCCCCTCCTCCTCCCCCCGGACTCTCCCCATGGGAGGAAGGAGCAGGGAAACACTCTATGTGACCCAACTCCCTCCGCCTCACCTGTCTGGAGCCGTCCTCCTCTACCACAACCACATGATAGGCACTGTACAGGAAGATGGAGCAGACTTTACTGTAACACTATGTATTTGCACTCCTTTATAAACTCACTGTAACACGTGACTTCAAGTGCTTAATGAAACAATCGCTAAATAAAACAAAAGTAGCTTATACCACAAGATGTTTATACCATGGGATGTAAAAAATAAAATACAATTCAATGCCAGACCGAACACTATAGAAAGCAATTTAGTTTGACATGGAAGCAATTTCTTTTCTGTGCAGCTTAGCAGATAACTCGAATGCTGACTGGTGGAGTTATACATATATCAGCTGTTTGCATCTCCATCCATCCATCTCAATTAATGCCTTAGGAATAATATTTTTTAGGTCCATCAAGATGAATGAATGAATGAATGAATGAACGAATATATCGTATGAAATACACTATAGAAAGCAATTTAGTTTGACATGGAAGCAATTTCTTTTCTGTGCAGCTTAGCAGATAACTCGAATGCTGACTGGTGGAGTTATACATATATCAGCTGTTTGCATCTCCATCCATCCATCTCAATTAATGCCTTAGGAATAATATTTTTTAGGTCCATCAAGATGAATGAATGAATGAATGAATGAATGAATGAACGAATATATCGTATGAAATGTATCGCTTTTGAATCATTCTCTTTCCTACTACTTGTTTCCCTTCTGTTTTCAGTTTTTATAACCAATTCTTACTATGTGTTTCCAGATCCCTACTATCACTACCACTCGCAAACCATGCATCACACACTGTAGGCAGCGCAATCCTAACAACCTGCGCACTTTGCCTATGTCTACTAATACACTACTTTATTTTTCTATTGGTCTCTGGAATTGCCAGTCTGCTGTAAACAAAGCAGATTGTATTACTTCTATTACAAGTCAGTTGAGACTAAACCTAGACAGAGACGTGGATCAAACCAGAGGACAATGCTACACCTGCAGCACTCTCAAATAATTTCTCTTTTTCCCACCCCCCCCGTTTGACTGGAAGAGGTGGAGGTACTGGTCTGCTTATCTCTAATGATTAGAATTTTAATCCTTTACCATCTCTGAGTATCAACAGCTCCTTTGAATCACATTCAGCCACTATTACCCACCCTCTTAAAATCCATTTTATAGTTGTTTATCGACCCCCAGGACCACTAGGTAACTTCGTGGAAGAATTAGATCTGCTGCTCTCAAACTTTCCTGAGGATGGTACTCCCCTAGTTATGCTTGGAGACTTCAACATCCACCTAGATAAACCTCAGGCTGCAGACTTCCACACTCTGCTTGCTTCTTTTGATCTCAAGCGAGTATTAACTACGGCTACTCACAAATCAGGCAACCAACTGGACCTTATTTACACACGACACTGCTCCACTGATCATGTGCTCGTTACTCCACTGCACACCTCGGATCACTTCCTCCTCACTCTTAACCTCAACATGGTACCTGACACAACACATACCCCTACACATGTCACTTTTCGACATAACCTACACTCTCTATCACCCTCCCGGCTATCTGCTATGGTTTCATCTTCGCTTCCTTCCCCTGAACAGTTATCATCTCTTGATGTTAACAGTGATACTGATACTTTCTGCTCCACTCTTACGTCTTGTTTAGACACTGGCTGCCCCTTGTCTTCCAGGCCAGCTCGTACCACCTCTTCTGCCCCTTGGCTATCTGATGTTCTCCGTGAGTATCGTTCTAAGCTCAGAGCTGCAGAAAGAGTATGGCGCAAATCACAAAATCCTACTGACCTTAATGTATATCGATCACTTCTCTCTTCATTCTCTGCTAATGCCTCCACTGCTAAAAGGACATACTATCACAACAAAATTAACAATTCGCCTAACTCTCGCATGCTCTTTAAAACATTTTCCTCCCCCTCCTTCATCAACTCTAACAGCTGACGACTTTGCCACATTCTTCATTAATAAAATTACAAACCTCAGTGCACAATTTGCCACACCACAAACTGTCAAACACATCTTACCAGCAAACATACACTCGTTTTCATCCTTCTCTCCACTCTCTGAGGCAGAAGTCTCTAAACTCATCCTTTCCAATCATCCTACTACTTGTCCGCTTGATCCTATTCCATCTCATCTCCTTCAAGCCATTTCTCCTGCCGTTGTACCTGCACTCACTCACATCGTTAACACATCCCTTCACACTGGTGTTTTTCCCTCAACATTTAAACAGGCTCGTATAACCCCACTTCTTAAGAAACCCACTCTTAACCCAACTCTTTTAGAGAACTACAGACCGGTTTCCCTTCTACCTTTCATTGCAAAAACACTTGAACGAGTTGTGTTCAACCAAGTCTCAGCCTTTCTCACACAGAACAACCTCCTGGACAGCAACCAATCTGGCTTCAGAAGTGGACATTCGACCGAGACTGCCTTGCTTTCAGTTGTTGAAGCCCTAAGACTGGTAAGAGCGGCCTCAAAATCTTCTATACTTATTTGACTGGATCTGTCTGCTGCTTTTGAAACGGTGAACCACCAGATTCTCCTGCGATGACTGACCATCACCTTCAACTCAACCTGGCTAAGACAGACCTGATTGTGGTTTCAACAAACCTATCACTTTATCAAAATTATCTGTTCCACCTTTATTTGACCCTCTAACTCTAGCACTTTCTATTCTATTCTATTCTATTTTAATTCTACTTTATCTATATTTGTCGTCTTCTTTTTTTTATTAAAAAAAGCACTAGCTTTCTATTTTTTCTATTCTATCTACTTGTTTTTCTTTGTGTGTGTGTGTATATGTGTGTGTATAATATATATATATATACATATACACCTTGCTAGGTGTAGTTAGTTAGGCTAACCGAGACTTGTCATTTGCACTTATATATTGTTGCTCTTTTGTTAGTTTTGACTGCTTTTATTGTCCTCATTTGTAAGTCGCTTTGGATAAAAGCGTCTGCTAAATGAATAAATGTAAATGTAAATGAATGAATGAATGAATAAATGAACAAACGAACGAACGAACGAAAACGAACGAGCGGACTAACCAATCAATCAATTAATCAATGAAGTCGCTTTTGTTTGCTTTTTTATTACATCATATTATCGAAATAGACATTACTATAAAATATAACATATAAAACATTTTGAGGATTGAATTTCCATTAAACATCAGTGTATTATGTGAGTTAACAATGATCTTAACATGACTTTACTCTGTTTTCAATGGATTTTAAAGTTATTATATTAGTAGTAACATGATACACTTTAAAAAAGCATCATATGACCCCTTTAATACAGCACAGTGAAGAATAACTTAAAGAGGTTGCCTGCGTTTACTAAACTGTGGAACTTTGACTCTTGCTGCTGATTTGAATGGCGATGCTTCCCGTTTTAAATGTCAGTAATGGCCTTTCATTTAACCAGAAATTTGCGCGCTGCTTTTCTGATGTTCATTTAAGTTTTCCGTGTCCTTTTTCCCGTGTCACTTGAAATGTGTCCGTTTTGAATCATTGTGGTGAGACACGTGAGGAAAAAATAAACGACTATTCTGTCATAAATCGCATACCATTCATTTCTGAACTTTCTACCATCTGTTACTGGAAATGAAATTACTGGTTGATATGTTCCGATCTCAATAAGTTTACACATGCTTTTAGTCCGTGAACTGGATCTCGCTCAGGACGCGCGCTGTCTGTGAAAGTTTGGCCAGGACCGCTTCCAGAGTAATCACCTAGGGATTTTTGTCCCGTCCATTTCTTATCGCTGATATTTCGAGAATGAATCCGGCATCATTCCTGAAACTTTGCAGCATGTATGTGTCCGAAAAACGAAAGTGTCATTCAAATTCTGAATGGATTATAGCCTAGAAAACACACAAAGCACGCTCCCTTTATTATCACTAAAATAATCACTCATCAAAGTTCATCGCGAATTTACAAAGTTCCGTTATAATCAAGCTCTCTAAACTACACAATAAATCTCTTATTTACATCGCGTCGGCACTCAGTCATGAGGTGATTCGCGAGCGTGCAAAACTCCGGCTCTTTCAGCGGTGAGTGAATTCTGAAAGCTCTAACGTTTCTGATTGGCCATTGCGTTGAAGAAATCAACAGATATGTCTTTGATTGGCTACATTGCTCAATGCTGCAAAAACACGTTAGATAGTTTGCCAGATATTTTAATTGCTTTTGCTTTCGTTTGGGGGTATTTAGCACCGTCTAGTACCACCGTACAACCAGGCCTGGGCTGACATCAGGGATTACTTGACTGACGATATGGGGGGGCAACAAATACAATAAGCAACAAATAGCGTAATACATATATATATATATATATATATACATATATATATATATATATATATTAGATTGGGTTCATTACCTAACAGGTGCTCCTCTCCCCAAGGCTGGACGCAGGAGGACTGTTATTGTGCTCTCAGATTCACTCAGTGGAGAGGGGACGTCTTCATAATCAAACGCAGGTGCTGTGAGGGGAAAGAAAGAACAAATAATATCTGATCCGTTTCAGATGTGATTAAGAAATGCCTGAGTGACTTGAGAACTAAGCCAGTGAACTAGTTATTCTTTTGTGCTGGTTCACAAATTCTATTGAACGATTTGTTTTTAAATTGTTCAGCTTACTGACTCAGTCAGTCAGTCAGTTCAACTCTATGATTCGTTTGCTGTCAACAGCTCACTGGAGGGAAATATTATCAGTAAACAAAGACTTAAAATACAGGTTTAGAATGACAAGAGAAGGAGTAAAATAATGATAGAAGTTTCATTTTTGATCTATTCTTAAAAAAACAAACAAAAAAAAAACACCTCAACCACCCAGCAACTGTAACATACAAAAATCTTTTAAATTAGTCTTGGTTTTCCACTGACTTGAATCCCTTGCTCCACAGAGAACAAAAACAGGCCCAGACAGAGCGCGCCACACAAGGGCAATGAAACACAGTAATGGAGGCGGATGAGAGCGATTCACAGTCCTTTATAAAGTCTCTTGAGAGGCGAGCGCAGAACAGAGCTCCTGCTCCCATTCCTGCTTATTATCGTAAGTCAATTAGTGAGCCGGTACAGGGAAACAGGTCAATGTCTCAGCCTTCAGCATACCAAAACAAGCAGAAAACCTAGAGTAGAAAGAACGAGAGCCGCTATCACAGCGCTAGTGTTAGATCTGAGGACTGAGGGATGTTATGATTGACTATAGGAACAAACCTCAAAAAGAAACATACACAAATAAGCACAAAGGACAATTTTGCTCATGCCTAGTACAGCTGGATTACCATGTGTGAGCAGATATTTAAAGAGACAGTTCATGCAAAAATCCCTTATTCACCCACAAATCCATTTAACACAAAGCAGGGAAGCTACTGAATAATTTGGGATATATTACATGAGGTGCTTTTTATATATATATATATACATATATATATATATATATATATATTAGATTGGGTTCATTACCTAACAGGTGCTCCTCTCCCCAAGGCTGGACGCAGGAGGACTGTTATTGTGCTCTCAGATTCACTCAGTGGAGAGGGGACGTCTTCATAATCAAACGCAGGTGCTGTGAGGGGAAAGAAAGAACAAATAATATCTGATCCGTTTCAGATGTGATTAAGAAATGCCTGAGTGACTTGAGAACTAAGCCAGTGAACTAGTTATTCTTTTGTGCTGGTTCACAAATTCTATTGAACGATTTGTTTTTAAATTGTTCAGCTTACTGACTCAGTCAGTCAGTCAGTTCAACTCTATGATTCGTTTGCTGTCAACAGCTCACTGGAGGGAAATATTATCAGTAAACAAAGACTTAAAATACAGGTTTAGAATGACAAGAGAAGGAGTAAAATAATGATAGAAGTTTCATTTTTGATCTATTCTTAAAAAAACAAACAAAAAAAAAACACCTCAACCACCCAGCAACTGTAAGATATTTTAATTGCTTTTGCTTTCGTTTGGGGGTATTTAGCACCGTCTAGTACCACCGTACAACCAGGCCTGGGCTGACATCAGGGATTACTTGACTGACGATATGGGGGGGCAACAAATACAATAAGCAACAAATAGCGTAATACATATATATATATATATATATA